GCGGGTTAACCGCTGCTGCTGGGTGTCCTCGCCTTCTCCATCAGCCCCGCTCTCCACAGCCGCTGGCATTGGCGATGGAGGCCTTTAATTATCCAAACTGCTGCCCCTCACAAAATTAAATGCTGCTGAGGATGACTCAGTGTTTAATGGACTGGCTGCTCCTCACGCCGGGAGAGCCAAGCGGGTGCAAGCGAGAGCACGGCACAACACGGCATAAATCACCCGGAGACGCCGCTCACGGGGCCCGCTGACCCCGCCGCCTGGAGCAGCCTCTGCTGGGCTTAAACACTGCTGGTTTCACTCAGGATAACCCGGGGGAACTCCTGGGAGCAGCAGATCCGGGCGTTGCAGCTCGACCCTCCAGCCAGGCTGGCTGCCACCCTTGCCCAGCTGCCACCACGTGGACGCGCTTGATTTGGGAATCCCACGGATTCACCACGCTGCCTGTGCTGGCTTCTCTGCTCCCAGGATTTAGATGTGGTGGTTTCCTTTGGAAAGGTCTCAGAAATGGTCAGATGTGGTTTAGAAGGCAAACAGGTGCCAGAGGATGTGATACAAAGCTTGTTTCTGCCTTTGCACCACGCTCGGGCCAGCCCAAGCCAGCATGGCAAGAAGCAGCTCTGTTAATAGCCTCGTTAGTCTCACCAAGATGCTGAAGCTTTGGCTTCCAGCAGATAATTAACAATGTGCTCATGAATTAGGAAACCCTGGACCTCTACCAGGATCTCTGTGGAGGCTCGTGGTTCAGAGCTGGAGCAAGGCAATGCCTCGAGGAGCAGCCCAAAGCAAAGGGCATGGCCAGCAGGGACTGGCAGGGGCCTTCTTTGCCCATCTTTAATGGCAGGACCAGTTTTTCTCCAGGTACCCAACACCTGGAGCTGGCAAACAGGAAAAAATTCTCCATGGAAAATGTAGTTAAGCCCTGGCACAGGCTGTCCTGGGCAGCGGTGGAGGCACCATTCCTGGAGGGATTTAAGACACGTAGATGTGGGGCTTGAGGACAGTGTGGTGGCCTTGGCAGTGCTGGGGCAGCACTCAGAGGATGATCTTGGAAACCTTTTCCATTTAAAGGATTATGTGTGGATGCAAGAGTCCCTAATGCTGGAGCTGCCCCACGCTTCCTACTAAGGCCCCACGGTGCCTCATTTGAATACAATTTACTGTCGCTAATGATGCTGATGCTTATTTCCCCAAGCTGGGAAGTATTTGGCCCCAAAATGGGCTCCTGGAAGCAATTTCAGAGGCAGTCTGTAATGCTGGAGCTGATGGAAGCAATTTGCAACCCATTAGCAGAGATCGGCTGTGAAGATATTTTACACATCACTCAGTCCAGGTTTGAGGAGGGATGGAATTTTCCCCCCTCTCCTTTGGAATTTTTGTCCTGGATGGGGTGAACACCTGAGCGCTGCCTCTGCAGCCCCAGCTTTGCCTCGTTCCAATGGTGATTTCTGAATTAAATCCCTTAAATACACAAATACAGTCCTGGACTGCAGGGCCAGGCACCCCCAGAGCCTCATGCTCCAGGAAGGGACACAGCAGTGCCCAGCACCTCCAGCACCCACAGGACTAATTGATCATTATTAATTAATTTGCCTCCTGGACAGCAGCAATGCAGGTAAAGAAGCAATTTTCAAGCCAAGGCTCCATGGAGGGAGCAAAAGCACAGCACAACCCCAAAAAAGCATGGAAAGGCATCACTTATCCATCCTTGCCCTGGGGATGCTCTTCCAAGAAGCAGGATGGGAGCTGGTTTCCGTAACTGGGGTGTGTGTAGTGGAGCAGGGACAAGCTCTGCTGGAAAGGTGAAAAAAGAGCCCCAGGCCTTGAGTTATCCCTTGGCCCGAGCTCCTGAGGTGTTCCCAAGACAAGTCTGGGATCCTGCCTGTCTGCTGGAGCCTGTGCTGGGAGCCTCAGCTCTGCAGCACCTTCCCTTAATTACTTTTTTCATTCTAATTAGATCTGAGGGCAGGCTGAGGAGAGCCCTGGTTGCTGAATCCGTGCTCTGAGCACCCATTTTTAACAGGAGGACTCCACCACAGCCCCACCACCCCTCACTAACCCACCCCTTGAGGTCTTTGTATCTCGCAGTTATCACCTGGGGCTGTTCCCTCCTCACCCATCCCACAGCCCTCGGCTGGTTCCTGTCTCTCCCAGCAGGAATTAACACAACCCTCACGTGGCTTCCCCAAAAAATAACACGGAAACGCTCCCAGTCCCCACGCTCCACTCGATTCCAAGGATGCAGCTGCATTCTCCCTGGACGAGGGCCAGCAGTAAGGAAGTTTCCTCTGGCCGCTCTCCTCCTCCCTGGCTCCTGTAGAAAATGGGTTTGGGGTGTTTGGGGCCCCAAGAGCTCCACGAGACCCCCAGAAAAGGTTCTCCATCCAGGGGAAGCAGCAGAGCCTCTTCCCTGGGGTTTCTTGTGCACTGGAAATCAAGGACTCCCAAGAACGTCCACGTGCTCACCTGCTCCAGCCTGAGACCTCCTCCCTCCCTGCCGGGGATTTACTGTCAATAAAACCACTGCAGAGAGCGACTTCTCATCCGGAAGAAGAGGAGGAGGAGGGGGGAACAACCACTCTCTAAATGTCCTTCTGCCTTATCCCAGCAGCACATCCTTCTCCGGGCTGCCATCAGGACGCTGATGGAGGGACAGCCATCGAGCAGGCAGCTGTCGGCCCGGCAAGGAGCGGCGCAGGACGGAGCGGGAAGGGAAAGGCACGGCTGTGCCAACTGGGAATGCTAATGCTGCTCTCCTGGCCTCGCAGCCACCTCCCCAAGCTCTGGCAGGGGTGTCCCTGAGCCCTGCAAGGGGGGGCACTGGCTCGGGGGGTGTCCCTGTCCCCCAGCTCTGCTGCTCCCAGGTGCTCCCGGGCAGGTCCTGCTGTAAAACCCAGGGCTCGTGCTGGGGTAGGGGAGAGGATGCTCCAGAAAAGGACCAAAGCAAGTGTGCCCAAGCTGTGGGATTTTGGGGACAGGGTACGTGTGCCTCACCCTGCTGTGCCCCTGAGTGCCCACGCTCCCGTTTGTGTGGTTCAGGTGGGGACACCCTGCTGGGAAGGCACCTCTGGGCAGGGACACAGCCTGTGCCAACCCTGGGCTCTGGCTGTCCCTTTCCAACATCACACTTGTAAAGGACATTGAGGAATCCTTTTCCATCTGACTGCAGCCACCTCACTGGGAGCAGCGGGCGGGCTCCTGCTGCAGCCTCCGCACCCAGAGCCGCCGCCGCGGGGGCTCAGCTCGGGGGGCGAGGGCACCCCGCTCCCCGGAGCAGCCACGGGCTGCAGCTGGAGGCAGCGGGAGATGTGCGGGCACTGGGGGGAGCTGGGCAGCGCTGAGCAATCCCCCCACTCTGCCCCGGGCAGGAGCAGAGCCCCCAGTGCCCCCTGCCCCGGGAGCGGCCGGGGACAGCGGCAGAAGGACGGGGCTGGGAGAGGGGCGGCGTGTCCTGAGCAGGGCAGGGCCCAGCGCCGCCCGCAGGGTCAGTCCCTGTCACCGTGACAAGCGCGACAGGGACCGGCCACAGGCAGCACGGGCTGAGCCCGGGTGGACACTCGTGTGCCCCAGGGTCAGAAAAGGGCTGGAAGCCACCGGTGCCCCCCAAAAGGACCAAGCCCGGGGTGTCCCAGCACACCCTCCCGGCGCTGGGGCCACCACGGGTGAAGCCTGAAGGGCGGGGAGGAGACAGCAAGGCAGAGACGGCTCCGGGCGGTGGGATGGGGCCGGGGGTCCGGCGGAGCGGGGGGCGAGGAGCCGGAGCATCCCTGGAAGGCGCTGGGGGATGGGAGCGGCACACGCACACGCACACACACATTACCCACATGCACACGGCAGCAGCACCAACAGCCCCTGCCAGCGCCTGCAATCGCTGGAGCGCCGCTCCTGCGCCTCTCCCTCCTCCTCCTCCTCCTCCTCCTTCTCCTCCTCCTCCTCCTCCTCCTCCTCGCTGCCCACCGGCCTGCGGCACCCCTCACCCCTCCGCGGCCTCCGGCCCCACCAGCGCTCAGACAATGACTTCATGCGGATTATGCATCTGAAGAAATCACCAGCTCCCAGATAGCCACAGGGGGAGGTATCCATGTGTTTGGCAGGGAAGCAGCCTCCTGCTCGCCTTCCTTCTCCTCCTCTTATCTCCTCGCACACGGCAGCTGCCTCCTCTCCAGCGATGGTCGCCTGCGGTCCCCCCGCGCGGCGCTGAGCGAGGCCCCGGCGCATCCCCGCTCCCACGCTTGCACCAAGGTACCAACGGGGCTATTTTTATTCCCCCCCCCCTTCTTTTCCGCTTCACCCGCCGCTGCCGGGCTCGGTGCCTCAGCACCCTCGGTGCCTGCACATCTCCCCGTGTTCGCAGCCCCGGCTCCCGCGGCGCAGCGGCAGCACCGCCAGCCCAGCTCCAGCCACGGCCGCCGGCCCTGATCCCAGGTTTGCATCTTTGATTCCTTCATCTGCTTGTCGATGCGACAGTGCCATTTGTGGGAGGTGGAGGGGGAGCGGGGCAGGTGGGAGGGGAGGGGGAGATAAGGTGATGGAAGGGGGG